AAACAAAAAACCAAAAGCTTCTGGCACAGAAGCTTTCTTTTTAATATGCACGACGCAATAGGCAGAACGAGCAAATAATCCGAAGTGTTACCAAGTAGAATATTCATCTGTTCATTTCCGTGGGGCCACTTCAAACCCTACAGGAGAATACAGTGGTGCCTCGCTTAGCGATGTTAATTCGTTCCGCAAAAATTGCTGCAGAATGAAAACGCCGCTATGCGATATTAAAAAGCCCATAGAAACGCATTGAAACCCTTCAATGCGTTCCTATGGGCTTAAAATTCACCATTGAGCGAAGATCCTCCATAGCGCCACCATTTTCGGTGCCTCTAAAGCGAGGAATCCGTCCCTAAACATAGCGGGCAGCCATGTTTTTTTCCCAGCGGCCATTTTGAAACCGCCGATCAGCTGTGCAAAAATGGGGGCTTTGCTATTATCGCTTCCCTGTGATCATCGCAAAATGAAAATACCCCATAGAGAATATCGCAACGCGCTCGCTTTTGCAATCGCAAAAACATTGTCGCTAAGTGATTTTGTCGCTAAACAGAGCGATCACTAAGTGAGGCACCACTGTATTTGAGTCCATATTTAAGAGTTCACTGGTACACGCCACGCTAACTGCTGAATCCATGGTAGTCATGGAAGACCGGCTCAGTTGCAAAGGCAGGATTCTGCCCTGTTAGCTAAGAGGTTGGCCTTACTGCAGTGTGACTCGTTGAAAGGCCACCGAGCCAGAGGCCGCCTGACCCAGTGGCCAATCTCATCTAAATGATCGTGGACACCATGCGGGATGGGATGAGTAGACTAGACGCAGGAAGTCCCAGAGGGGAAAAAGCAGTAAACTTTGAAGGGAAAAAACATTTTGGCAGGCCTCCTTGTGACTGTCTTTTTGGGGAAAAATTAGGAAAATTGAAAAATGGATTATGAAGCATAGGAAAGTTTTTCTCTTAAAAAGCACTGAATATTTCCTACCCACCCACCCACCTCCCAATGAAAAAAGGACAACTTCTCTTCCACAGTTTCAACATTTTACCTCAGCAGAGCCTAACATCTTCCATCTAGATGGGACACATCAAGAAAACGCAGGAATGGGCATGCCTTGTTTTAATGGAGACATTGTGCCTCCTCCTTGATTCCAGTCCCAAATTTCAGATCTTGGGTGTGAAATCTACTCCCGCTAGAATGCTGTTCCACCTTCTCTGAATGAGTTTGCCATGTCCTGTGCAATATGGTTCTTGCCAATATTGCATGGAGAGGAAGATAAGGAAGCCTCCACCATCTTCTTCAAGTCAAGACGTCCCCCAGTTAATGCACTCTTTCAGCCTGCCACTCCAACCTCCCCCCCACTGCAGAACATATGAATGAAAGTTTGTCCCTTCACCCCCCACCGTAGCCAAAGGACTAGACCCAGGGTCAATGGACTGAACCACCACCACCTCGATGCACAACGAGGTGCCTTCCGGAGGCTGACAGACCACAACATGCACAGCCCCTCGTCACTGGCTTCGCTAAACTAGGGTTGACCTAAACTGATTTAAATTGTCAAAAAAAAATCTGATTACATCAAATCCACACTGCATCTAACCCTTCCAAATGCCAAGCCTATAACTGTCGCAACTACAAAAAAATAACAACCAGGCTAAAACACTAAGAATTTACCATTTCAACTTTGGAAGAGAAAACTATTCAAAGGAAAAAAAATTCTCCATGACAGAAAATCATAGCAGTGATTTAACAGGAGATGGCATTTATATATATATACACACACAAACACACATATTCCTCCCCTCTTTCTCTTGTAAAACTGCATAAAGGAAGTGGAGGATATGAATAACTGTGAAAACGTCCCATCCTTCCATGCAGCAAAATGTTATTTCCTGCATGGGAGATTTCTGGCTGCACTTTCCCCATGGCTTCTCTCTTATTTCCAGGCATTTATCTGAACCCAACCTGGCCCACAGCTGTTCCGCCCAGTTCAAGGATGAGGAAATGGGCTCTATGGTCACCTGGCCACTTTTTTTGTGTGTATGTGTGTGTGTGTGAGTGTGAGGCACAGCACTCAAGATGCAGTGACAGCTCATAACTTCCCAGCAGTTGGCTTTTATCTCTCAATAAAGACCATTTTCAACTTCAAGAACACCATCTGCAAAGCCGACCATTCTCGTCTCGCCTGATCATACAACGGTCTGTGCTATGTAACTCAAAGAAGAACCCAAACACACACACACACGCACTTGAGCTTAACGCCATTCTGAAAACAAGGCGAGTTACAGGATGAGTTGTGGTTCCAATTTGTTCTACCGCCTGAACACAGAAGGTTTCGTCCCTCCAACACAGCTGTTTATACAACTTCGGCTCTGTCATTAAAACCTCCTGGAGGACTTCTGTGTAGACTCCCTCCTCTCCCCACCATCAGCACACACCCTGCTAAAGTAAAGGCAGGCCAGCCTTCCATGGGAGATTGGCCTTGACCGAGCTGAATCTAACCAGCCCACCTTCACAACGGATACGGAACCCCACTCTGCTTTCCCCCCCCCCACGGTATTGTCCCAAACATCTTCCCAGGGCGAACCTCTATGGAGGATTCAACTGGACATGATGGAGGAGACACCAAAGGAAACTCCAACAAATGGTAAAAGCACTTCAACATCCCGTTTCTTAAAAGGCTTCTCTTAACTAGGGATTTTGGACCAGCCAGAATGCAGGAAGTGCCTGTATTCGGATCCCAACGAAGAGAGACGAGACCGCTGGTGCCTTGGCACAGGTCTGGCGCACCCCATAGTTGATAGAGCTGCAGCATGATACAACACCGCAAAAGGAAACACGCAGATGCCCTCACACACGGGGCAGCCCCATCCCCATTTGAGCCCTGGGAACGCACGGACTACCAAAGGGGCCGTCCATGCCCTGGGCAAACCGACGGGTCTTTTTTTTTACCCTACCCTTTCTAAGCTGAAACTGGCAAAGGGGGAAATGGATGACCCTCACCAGCCGGTGCTACAAGCTGAGTGGCCCAAAGCCCTTCTCTGGCCAGGCCACCATGTTTCCACCTTGGCAAGAGAAACCGCTCATAGTACAAGAGGTTCCTAAAGAGAAGGTGCCACGCGTATGGTTTCTTTCGACACCCATGGCTTCCCCTAAGCTGCTAACACGACACTCATGCAATAAACGCTACCTATAAAGGACATTTCCAGTCTAATCTGCCTTGGTATCCCTCACGGCCTGTGCAGATGACGATAAGAACGGTCCCTGGATCTCACTTACTGGATTGCTGAGTTACCAAAGACAGTCACCAGAAATTCAACTCTCTGCCATGTATAGAAACGATAAGCTGAAGGCACCTGTATTTTAAGAACTAAAACAGCTAATGACGCAAATAGTTTATTTGCAGTTCCGAAGCAACTTTTTTCTTTTATGAATGAATGTATAAAATAGTCAGGCAAGTCTTTGCAAATGTCTCCTCCTGATTTTCACAGCCTCCGAATGAAACGCACAGTCAACATGAGAACGAAGGCGTATTTCAGGCCATTGGGGAAAAGAACCAGCCAACTAAACCTCCATCTCTTCCACCACCTTTTCTCTCCCCTCATTCTTTTGAGCAGCAGAACTTTCCAGTTATATTTTTAATGGTTAAGGCAACAATGCCATAGTGATACGTGGAGAACTTTATTGATTTACAGCGATGAAATCAAAGCAGCCAAAGGACCATGTTCTAGAAGGGCTCGTTTCAAGCATGATACCCCCCACCCACCAAATGGGCAGATCTGCTACCTTAAGAAAGGCAAAAGACACGAACCAAACATGGCTCAGACTTCTGTGAAATATGGCACGGGCTAGAGGGAAAAGGGGACAATCCAAGTTTGATAGAGTTTGAAACTTTTCTCCACCTGATTTGTTTATTGTAGCTCCACAATACCACAGCTACAATCCTGCCATGGTACCAAGCCCCACTGATTAAACATACACTTAAATTCCCCACTCAAAGCAATAAGATAGGAACGGTTAACTCTGGATGCATCAACGACTGGTAATAGCAACACAAGTCTCATATTGAATAAATAAATTGTGCAATATACACATTCTCCCCAAGACATCATCCGACACCTTTACATGTTCTTAAAACCACTTATTCTTGTTAAACAGTAAGTTCACTTTTCACTTCCGTATCAAGCTCCAAACAGAATCACTTTCTGCAGAGACCTTTAAGCAGAGTAATTTATTTTAATTTATTTTTCAAAGTTTGTTTCATTCAAAAGAATTTAACATTTCGGGCACAACCCTGGCAAACCTAAGCTCTTTTAGGTCCCACTGAGTTAAGCATGAGTTTAACTGTCCATTTCAGCCAACAGAAATCGGAAATTCTTTTTATTACTGCTACACAAATCAAGCTCCACGGCAAAAGGAAAAAATGCTGAATTTGCATTCCTTGCAGAAGCTGCTTCTACTTTGGAAACAGCAAGTCCTCTGGTTCTGAACACCCTGATGTGGGCGATCCAAACGGTTTCATGTACAGCCAGGCTTTTGGGTTTCTATCCTCTGCATTAAAATCATTCCTTAACATGAAGAGGCCGCTGTGCAGCCGGAGCGAAGGATTTGTCTGGGGGGTAGGTAGGTTATCATCTTCCTTCTATCTTCATCAAATTAACACTTGAGACAGTAGCACAACAAAGCTACATCTTCATTAATTCCTGACAAGTGCCAACGTGTCACATACACGCAGAATTTAACTATACCGTGGAGAGAAGCAAAATGCAAGAGTCACAAACCCCTTCCACAGAGCCTGTGCTCTGTCGTTATTTAAAATACAAACCCAACAACAATTAAAAACTCATGCTACCTTTTTTCCCCCTTTCCTATGAAGGGATCTGCACTCCACAGAACACGAGGTCTTGCTAAATGCTGATGGCAGCATAACATTTCCAAACCTGATTTTGATTCCCGTGCTCTAAAATTTTAAAACAAATTAGGATGATGAAATCACAGAAAGTGGATCTAACTACCTCATTCGTGTTCCAACGGTGACGTTCTTTTGGTAAACTGGAACATTTTGGTAGACATTCAAGCAGCTTTTTCGGTAGAAAGATTTTTACATGACTTCCGTTGCTGTTCCCGTGATCATCTGGAAGGGAAAAAGAAGTGAACATATGTTGGCATCAGAGAAACAAGATTTGACTATTTGACACCCTCGCCTTCTCCTGATGTAAGACCGACAGACTGGATCCACATGGAAAATTCAGCCTCATTGCTGGACACCCTAAAAATGGGATTCATGACTAAAAGACCTAGAGATCCCGCTTAGAATCCTATCATCCCTCTTGGAACTCAGAGCAGAGGCCCTGCTTGGGAGCTGATGGCTGAAATCTCTCAAGGTTGGAAAAATACCAGCCAACTTGCCCATAGTTCTGCCAAGAGAACTAAGAAATCCTCATGGAAGACTCGGTTTTAGTAAATTAAGCTACAAGACTCTTAGTGAAAGCAAGTCCTCACTCATTTCACTGACACTCCCTTTGTAGGCATCATCACTCCACTTCAATGTTTCAGCAATGCACTTCGAATCCTGCTTCAGAACAGCTAGGGTAGACCATGGATCAGGAAGAGAATACAGCATGCAACCTTGAGCTCTTCTCCTATGTAAAGTAACACCTCACCAAAATGCAGTTATTGCAGCCTAAAGCCTAGCTCCACTAGTTCTGCCACGCCATCCCAACTGGGACACCTCTTGGTGTCCTACATCAACTTGGATCCAATTAAGCACATCAAATCCTGTTATGCCGTCAAACGACTGGGGGGAAAAAGTATGTTACGTTAGGTTGCACAAGATATGCCAAGTGTCAAAATATTTTCCAAAGACGTTGAAACCAAAATACATAACTACAGTCCCTCCCAATAAAACTCACAACATGATTTCATTTAACAGCAGGCTTAATTTTGCCTCCACTTGCAGTGAGATGGATCAAGAACTTTATTTCTAGTTAAGACTTGCAGCTAATTGGATAGATGGATTCATAACTTGGTTTCTGGTTTGCATTAAACATGTTTAGAGTTCTCATCATTCCTAATGATCACTGCCCATCAATTAAATACAAATCTACTACTGATCTTATTCAAGAGTGAAAGACTTAATGCATAGGATGTACGGTACTAGAAAATTAACTGCTTGGGGAAAATAAACCCACTATTACTCTACTGAATTATCATTACATCCATTCTTTAGACCTTATGTCTGATTTTAAAAAGTGAAATTGAATAACCTCTGGGTTGTTGTGTTTTATTTTGTTTTGGACTCCATGGGAATGCCACTAAATTTCAGATTAACAGAAAGACGAAGGCTAAGGATGGGTATAGCTGTCTCATACCTCTTGAAGCCACTAAAAATTGCAATGCCCCTTTGCGTGGGGCCAACTCAGGGACAACCCAAACATGCCACTTCTGTTTCTCACCACCTTGCTTTGACAAAAACAAAAAAACCCAGCTGGGAACATTCTCCCCTCTCAGAACTCCTTCCCATCTTTTTATTCTCTTACCAGCTGGGCAAACAAATACACCAATGGTAAACTCCAACAGGTTCACTGGTGAAGGATTTATCCCTAAGAGAAATGTGATGTGTGGCTGGAACTTAAGGACACTTGTTTATAATTCTTGAAGTGGCAATGCTGTAAATTCCTGCCTCCTAAGGTCTAGCTGTGTGTGAATTTTGCAACAAAATGCAACTCTGGGATACTAAAATGCCCCATCTGACTGGTTAAGGTTAAATGGTTGGCTTGATTTTAGTTTTTTAAAAAAACATCCTCTAGAAAAGAAAATGTTCTATGAAAAAGCAGCGGACAATATTTTCATCCTCCCATCAATGCATGAGCTACAATATCTCTATGCACAAGGGGGGGGGCAGACATACATTCATTCATTCTATAGACAACAGTGCAATGTGGACTTTCTGGGCAGTTGACAACAAACATAAATAATGTACAAAAAGGAACAACACCAATTACAAGCGTCGGCAATAAGCAATAAAGGAATCACAGGATTTGCTAAAACCAGGATTTGCATTAATAAAAGGCAGCTTCCCACCATTCTGTTTTTAATAGCTTCTTAGAAACTGGGAGGGAAGGGTAGCTGGCAAGCATCTCTGGGAAGTTTGTTGCATAAGTGTGCCCTCATCCACAGCAGTGCAGTAACTTTAGGGTAGGGGGTCTGTTCACCGACAGTTGGGTTTGTGGAAGGGGGGATGTTTCTAAATTGACGGCGATGCAGCACCTAGCATTCAAGGAGCTTTCTAAATAAATGATGAGAGTCTTAAACACAGGATTGCTCTTCCTCTCGGTCAGTAAAAGGAAAGGAAAAAGAAGTCAACCAGCAGCAAATGCCTCTATCAGGATTAACAGATCAGCTGATGTGGGCTGAGCAGGGCAGATAACACAAGTTAGAATATCACCTCTGTGTCCCAGATAGAGCCGGGTTCTGCTTTTCACAATAAGTGGGAATTCAAAGGGGATGAATTTATTTTGCAGATAAGACGAGGGGGAAAATCAAAATCGACTCCTTATCCTGTTACAAAGCAGATTATCATCAGCTGAAGTTTCCAAACTGTTTCTCCACCTGCAGTCTTTGCAGGGAACAGAATTAAGTATTTGCTACGGTCTTAAGAGTAAGACGTTTTGAAAATGTCTTCTGTCTTACAAGCAAGGGAGAACAGCCATGTCAGATAAAGAGCAGGAGGGAGGGTAGGGTCAGCGCAGACGCCGGGGAGAAGGGGCAAACCTTGTGTTTACTGGAAAGGTCAAGGTTGTAAAGGCAAAGGGCTCCCAAGTCACCTTTGCAAGAACTTGAAGACAAGAAGAATCAAGTTTATATTGGTTTTCGCCTCTAAACCAGGTTTTCTGCACCTGTCTTTGGATCAAGAGTTGCTTGGTCTCCACAGAATCACTCGGAGCAAAGATGCTCCCCTCCGAAGCATTCACGTACGGGATGGTAACAAGGGGCTGTAGAGCAAGGAGAGTCCAGAATTTGCCTTATCAGCGCCATAAGGCAACATTTTAAGATAGTCTTTGAAGAAGGACAGAGTGAAAACAGAGACCAGGGCTGAACGGCTGTTGTGCAATTACTCGAAAGGTGCTACTTCTAGCACAGCACTGCCGGGAGAGAAGGATTCTCTGCAGACTTTATCGGCTGCACACCAAGCCACATGGATCAGGAGGTAACAGATGGTGCTGTCAAGAGATTTCCTTAACATACAGCCATTTGCCACGAAATGTGCAACAGAATTTAAGCCAGTGACAGAGACCGTGCGTGCCAAGGGGTATTTGCATTCAGACAGCAGGAAGTCCACCATGGTACCGATACCTGTCCCTGGTGCGACAGGAAAACATTACTTTTTTTATATCCAAAGCAAAGCAAAGCAAAAGTCCAATAAAACAGAGCAGCAGCAAACAAACAAAAAACACACACAAACCTAGTGGGACCTGGAAGACTAACAATGCCACTATGTTGCAGGGTTTAGTTTTGTTCTTTACTTTAATTCTGTCTTGCCTGGATATGTTAGCGGAGATTAACATGGCTACTTCTTTGGAAATTACTTTGTGTCAAAAACAGCAACAGCTTAGAATCCAATAAAACAGAGCAGCAGCAAACAAACAAAAAACACACACAAACCTAGTGGGACCTGGAAGACTAACAATGCCACTATGTTGCAGGGTTTAGTTTTGTTCTTTATTTTGATTCTGTCTTGCCTGGATATGTTAGCGGAGATTAACATGGCTACTTCTTTGGAAATTACTTTGTGTCAAAAACAGCAACAGCTTAGATTGTGTTTGTGATTATTCTAAGGGGAAAGGAAGCAATGGTTGCAACTCTGTATCCATATAGCTGGAACCCAGGCCCACTGGATACAATAGGATATATTTCTAAATACATAGTATTCTGTTCCAATCAATAGCACTTGCCTCTTCAAAAGGAAGTAATACTATAAACACGACCCTGGACTTTTCATCTTTGTGAAACAACCGGACATCAATTCAAGATGACATTCAGCAAAAGCGATTGAGCACAGAGAGAAAGAAATCCCAACCACAGAACTGAGGGGAAAGAGTCATGGAATGCTCTACTAGAACAGATCAGGAAGAAATAAGACTATTAACATGTGGGTTAGGAAAAAAAAATCTTCATGCTCTGAATCAAAGCTGGGATGCAGATTGGCTCCTAACACATCTCACTGAAGCTTTGATTCCTTTTAAAAAATGCATGGATCGCTTGTGATTCGAGATTGTAAAGAAGTATTTCATTTAAAACGAGCAGTGGTGGTAACAGGCAAAATTATGGGAAGCAGCAGAGAAAGAGCAGAGAGAGAGATTCTGATTTTTCAGCCTCATCTACTGGCATGGCCATCCATACGGTTCCTAAACTGAACCAAGATCACAGTCAAGGCCTTGATTCTGACCCATGACAGGATGATGACATTTGTAAGCTTCCAAGCCTTTCCTCCCCTGCAAGAGGACAAGCCTTGCACATAAGGAGAAGCCAGAATGGTGTACCTTCCCTTGATTACTCTGAGTGGTCAAGCTCGTCCGCCCCCACCTTGAGACAGGGCACAAAAATCAGGGACAGAATCTGTGACACAAACTCAACAACCTTGTTTTGCTGTCCTCAAGAAAAGCAAGTCTGGTTGCAGGCTGGTTTAGGAACTTGGCTTGTTTGAAAGCAATACAACAGCATCTCAGATTCAGACCTCAATGCAAAGCTGCCCATTTCTGTTTGTTTCCCCTGTGTGTACCCACTGTCGGAGAACAAGCCGAAACTTCTAACATGATGTGCATTCACAGGGAAGCAGGAGATGCCAGTGAGTCTGGTGTCTGTGAAGACAGACACCAAGAACTAAACACGTACTTGTCAAAGTTTTATATTGACATTTTTTTCTTCACATGTAGCATGGAAAGATGCCAAAACCTTGCCTGAGTTGGGTGGGATGAAAGCAGTAAACCACCAAGATCTACCCGTGTCACTCGTGCGAGCCAGGAGGTAAGGCTGAGGAGCCTAACGCCGAGGGAGGCCTGGAAGGTAAAGACAAGAAATCAGGCCTTCTCAGCGGTGGCTCCTCGCCTTTGGAACAACCTACCTCCTGAGATT